TTTTTTTTGTATATTTTGTGTAATTTATATTATCATTCGTTGTTGTATCTTTTTGAGTTTAGTCGAATAACCCTCGTACTAACCATCATAGTTACGTTTCGAGAGGTCAAACAACCGATTCCCTTGAACAGTTCTCAAGGCCAATAGTTCGCCCAATGTTTCTTTGTGAGAATCTCCCTGTGCCGCGATCGAATGTATCAGCGTATCACCCTGAGATTTGAGATGTAATAATAATTTTAAGAAAGATTAATAAAATTGTTTCGTGCGCGAAATAGATAGGCAGAGGAAGGCATACCCGCGTGTGATATAATCGTTGACTAATGTCGATTCCTCTCTGCAACATAGTCGCGGCCAAATAACCTGCGACGAATGGAAATCCTGGACAATTCAAAGCAGTCAAGTAAAGCGCGTCAAAGCCACGATCGTTCGTGATCGTTAGAGCCCCCGTGATTGTGCTCATACGTTCTACGAGTGGCACCAAGTACGCCATCTTTTGAACGAGTTCGTTCGGATTGCCAACGAGACACATCAATTTCCTGCTAGGCAGAAGAGAATGATGAACGATCAAACGGTACCAGATAGATTGTCATCCGTGAAAGAAGATCTCTCTTACGTATCTCCATCCTTGTCCTGCTTGGCCAGTTCTTCTACCGGTCGTTTAAGCAAGCTAATCATAGCCTTCTTCACTTCCTTTGGATCCAACTTTTCTTTCAACTTCTCGCTTGCCTTTACAAATGGTAAATTTAACGATGGCCAAAGTGGTATGGCGCTCCGATCGGAATTGCTAGAATCACTTGAGAAGAAAATTGATAATTATCTGTTGTTGCTATTGCTAACTCTGTGGTAACAATATGTTGGACGTAGACGTTCATTGATCTCGCCCTTGGATCATTCTGATAAGAAATTTCGTAAAATGCCTTTTGATATTTAAACTCAAATGGGAACATTTAATGTAATATTACAGGGATAACTTTTACCTAACGATACGTTAGAACGCATAAAATAGTATGTTTTCTTCGAAATAATCACATTGGCTTCTAAAGTAGATCGTTCGTTATTTCGGTCAACAAGTATTAATGTCTTTTAGAAGATTATTAAGAAAACTTGTTTCAAGTATGAAAAGTTGAGCGTTTCGATCCAAAAATTTCCAACAGAACAATTGCAAAGCAATTAACCTGTGAACAAGTGGCTGGGATAAATCTTCGACGAAACTCACCAACGTTGCTGAGAGCAAGCTTTGAACGAACTAACTGTTTCTGGTATTTGAAAGTCATCCATGGGGCTGATCGGCGAATCTTGTATTTTCCAATCGTCGAAGTTAACAAAGCTGCTAGAGATTGTATCCACAGTTGGCGAGGTATCGTCCAACGAATGAAACAATAAGCAGAAGTCACGATCGTGATGAACATGATCGTTGGTAGCAGTGGTTTCGACTGCAGCACCGTGACTTTTGTCATCCTCTGACGGATAGCTCGAAAGTAAAGGACCGTTCACAGCGTAGCTAGTTTCCGTTGGATTCTTGGCATCGATCTTCCGGGCGTCTTTCTGAGGAATAGTAGTTGGCGACACCGTGGAATACGATACGTTCGACCAAGGCAAAGATTCTGCAACTATGGTACTATGGTTGAAGTTGTTTGTATGAGAAGTGATCGTGCTCGTGGCATTGTCTTTTTCTTCATTTAAATTATTCACTAGTTCGTCGATCACGTTCGACCACAGCTCGTTGTTGCCGATCTCGTCTAGTATTGCAGTATTGCAAACAGTTTCACCATCGTTTCTCCGCGGTTGAAAATTGTCAAAATCTTGCTCGAATGGCGCGTCGATTCGAGAACCGGCTGTCGTCCGATGTGATAAAGAACTGTTCGGGCTCGGTGTGTCACTGTACGATTGACTCGAGGAGGAAGGCGAACTGGACGAGTAGGAGAAAGTTTGCGTCGGCCTGTACGTCGATGCGACGGTGATCTGAGAATTTATCAACGAATCAATTGTACATCGCAACGCCAATCTCTCATTACTCGAGCTTTCATTTCTCGCACGTCCAACGTACCATATCGTCGCTGTTATTATTATTAAAGAAAGAAAAAAGAAATAAATTAAATATCTCAAGTTTTATAGTCGTTTGTAGTCTGAACGATATATCTCTTAACGGCCTAAGAATAAACCTTCCAATTGCGTTGATTTACCTATTGTAAAAATTAACTACAACTGTGTGTTGAGTTGATATTTATTGCTCATAATATCTTGCGTGCATCCTGATAGTACGCTCTGCTTTGATACAGTGATACGTACATAATGACGATATAAGCAAAAATCATTGCTGTTTTAACTTTAAATGATGCACAGCAATCGACACGGGACGTGAACGTGCTGCAGTAAATATCTATCTTTATACGTATATTGATTACCTGAGGAGAGCCGGCTGGGCTGTGATTCGAATTTTGTCGCGTCCTTCCCGAAGACTGTGCAGAATAAACAAAAATCGGCGAGTGAGCACGGCTGGATTCACGGCTCTCGGGATTGGAAACGATCAAAGAGAAATCAAAGTTTTCCCTCGTCATCGGTTGGGCCGCTTGAAATGCTCCGCACATCACGTTCTCCAATAATAAACACTCGTCGCTGAAAATGTCATCGGCGATCGTGGATGCCGTCGACGAAGAGAAATTAAACTGAAATTAAAGTATTTTTCAAAATAGACACACATGGATAGGGAGTTTCGTTCGAAAACGTACGTACGTACATCATTCCTTGAACCGCAGACTTGCGACGCGCATCGATCTCGATCGTTGCCACTGTTGTAATTATAATTCGTCCTCTCCAGATTTTCCAACTGAGCCAGGCAAGCGTTCAATTTCTCGCTACATTCTTTGTCACGTAGGATCTGCTCCGCGGTTTTATCGTAGTCGATTGAGAATGTCTCGTCTGGCTGGAGAAACGGTGGCTGCTGCTCCGCTCTCGCGCGGTAAGGTTGACTGCGTGACAATGGACAAAATTGCGATTTAATCGGCCCTCGTTCAACGAGATCATCTCGATTAGTTTCCTTATTATGCTTGTGCTCACGCTCGTAGGTGTTGGTGGTGGTCTTTGACGTTTGACAGCCACGTTCTTCAAGTTTTGTCCGACGCACGTCGAGACCGCGTATTTCGTTCGACTGGTTGCGCGCAAATCGAAGGTTGTCGATCTTCTCGGTTACATCTTCGATGTCGATCGGCGAATCAGAAGCGGTTGAATGCGTTACGGTATTCCCAGGTACAGACGTTGTACTAACTTTTGTCATATTCGATGATCCTGTCTAACAACTCTCGTTTTCAATGCCAACCACCGCCAACTTGGTTTCTTATCTGTATAACAAAATTATAATCGTGTGCTTAATTACACGTAAAAGAGGGGAAACAAATTTTGTGTCAACTGAATCACAGTTCATGTCAATTGTTTCACATGTGTGACATTCGCATATATCGATGTCTATAAATCGCATTTCATAAAATTCAGATATGGTTTACGTTACAGAAACAGGGAGCAAGTTTTACATGCGTCGAGAAAATAAAATTTTCACATTTATCACGTAAACCGAAAATTTCCTACTTAGCGTGTTTTAGATTCATTGCACAAGTATTTATTATAATAATCTTTGACCAAATGATCATTCCTTTCTGAAAACAATATATACGTATATGCATGTTGCTCATTGCTGTAAACTGTATATAAATATAATGAAATTAATCTTTCAAGAGCTCACTGAGTTTTAAGAAACTGTGTCAATTCTCTTCTCATTTTACTATACAAATTTACTGTCTTTTGAAAAACAGTTTCGTATATGTATATATACACATAAAATCTAGCTACGTAATATGACATTTATACATGGCAACAAATGTAATATTACAGAAGCGAATCTTAAGCAACAAAATCATGCGAGACAATCGTATTAATGTAGTAATGATCATTTTGTTCAAAGCAAATGTTCGATGACAGGGTGTGTATGTTAAATTAATATTCAAGTTTTAGTATCGAAAGTTCAACGATCGTAAGTTGTAGAATAATCAAGAAGTAATAAATTATACTTGTTTACAAAGTTAACAAAGTCTACAGACAATGCAGAGATAATGAATATTGAAAAATTGAAGAAAGAGGTCACGGAAACGTGGAATTCATCATTGCGTTTTTACAGTCGTTTAAGAATCTTTTTAACTTTTCACGGAGTTACTGCTATCTACATAACGAATAGATAAACTTGCCAGCGCAACCGATTTATCGATTTATCGACCATATTTCGTTTCGATTCTCGTCGCTGCGTGAAAATGAAAGTTTGTGTATGTTCACAGCTGGCACAGGAAATGAACATTTACGTGTTATACGATCCCATTCCAATGAATAGAATTCCATTTATTCGAACCTGCAGTGCTCTTCGTACGAAGGAAAAATCTGTAGCAGAGAATCTCTCAGAGTTCTATCAACAGAGTTTTACTACAGCCTGTTTCCGTCACTCGCCGATTTGCAAGCAATCGCACAACTACTTTAGCCACTAATTATTTAAAGATTATCGCGCGTTCGTGTCCACCAGTTTTTTCTATTCCCAAGTCCAATTCATTCGCCTGGAGCACACGATCTCTGCCCGTGAGACGAGAACCGCGACGATCGATCGCGAACGTCGGAAGATCGAGCCGCCGATTGATCGCGTTTCTTCTGTCTGACTCGCGTTAGCCGACGAGCATGCGCAACTGTCGATGTCGATGACGTTGTCCCAACAGAATTTGCATATTTAGATACGTAGAGAGGGCACCGTTACACTCGGGATTTATCCAATTTAGAATGCCACGAATCGTGCGAATTCTAATCGCGAGAAGAGACAACGACGTCGTGCCCTCGCGTGAGAGAAGCGTAGAGAAATGTAGGAAAACGAGAAAAGGAAGATGTTGCTTCAATTGTGTCACTATCACTTACACTGTTACGTTGTTGTTGCTATGCTGCACTTACTTTACTCCCGGAATTCGAAAGAATTTCTTACAGAGACGTCACGCACTTCCGTTCTCTCGACGCTGATTGGAAGCGAACGCGAGGTAAACTGGAAACGAGAAATGAGGGCACCGAGAGAGGTGGTAATGGCAGAGCTAAAGATACGAAAGGGGGGAAATTTACGCATCGAAATTATTTTGATTAACAGACACATTAAACGCCGCATCGTGTCATCGGTGACTGACGATGTCACGAACAAGAAATAATATATATGTAATAATATGATAAGAAATAATAATATTAGACTGATATTAGAAATTAAAGAATAAAATTTCAAGAGTAAAAATATAGGGCGTTCAATGTGTTGAGAAGCAGAGACTACAAAATCGGCACTTTCCAAACCGTTTTCTTCGTGCTCGAAATTTATCCTTTTTTCGCAATAATTAATCGAAACTCGATCGAAACGAAATACAATACTACACTATCGTGCATAAACAACCTCGTGCAATTCCATCAGGCAACTGATAGTTTCTGTTCGTTTCATTTCTATTATTAATGTTCTACTTCTTGTATATTATACTGAGAGTAAATATTCCGCTAAATTTAAACTGCAACGTACCTATGTTCTACATTCATTTCTAGTAAATAACTGACACTGCCTAAAGTTTACACAAACTTTTTGAAAATGTGACTTACGAAACATTTGGAAATTTTTTATTAGGACTATACTCACGCGACTATATTGGTAAAATTTTTAACCGTTTCTGAAAATTTATACAGAAATTGCAAAATATTCACTACGAAGACTTAGGTATATATTTCGCAGAGATCACAAAAATATTTAAACAGCTTCAGCCCATTAGATCAACAAGTCCCAATATTCAACATTTGTTACATGCCTCAGATTCACGCTAATCTTTTTATTAAATACATGTATCATACAACTTTTATATATTTTTTCAAATTTTACCAATGCAATCGCGACACTTCAGTTCCATTAAAATATTAATAAAGTATCAAAATATTTTCATCATAAACATCATACATAACATGTACATAAAAATTTCTTATGGCAAGTCCGCGAATATAGTGTTAACGAAAATGTTTTATATAACATACTTTCTGCGACATACTTTTATTCGGTTGGGTATAGTAACACTCTTGACTCGAAATCGTTTAACTAAGAAAATTAACTTCTCGTAACTCAACTGTAAAATTAATCTTCAAGTTATTGTTATTTATAAGAAATTGATATTAGCTATTCTATTCTGCTACACTGCTAGCTTTGATATTTCTTTATGTCACTTTTATATTGAATTCTTTAGAATAGTAAATCAAGACTGTATATCGGCATATGTTTATTTCATTCTGATATACGGCACTGTTCAATATTCATTTGAACTGTGCGTTTTTATAGTTGCATCGAAACTTCTTAAATACTCGATCAACTTAAATACAGTAATATGAGAAAGAAAAGGAAGATGGTAGAATATACATTCGCGTATATTTTTCTCAAATCTGTTTTATTTCGTACAGAAACGCTATCAATTGCAGCGTCGTGACACAGATCTCATTCTCTCTTGCTCTTTCTTCTTTATTAATCTCACCTCGTCTTCCTCAGTCGCATCGCACGAGATCCGTTGGAATTTACGAAGAAACGATTAGACGTTCGCGAGATGCAGATGCGAGAGGATACGAGCGAATTCACTCGAAGAAGTACGAGAATATTCCAGCTCTCGAAAGTATCCATATTGCAATTACGATTAGGCAAGCGCTGAATATTCGATCGACGTACTTGAGCCTAAAAAAATATTCGGATCGAGTCGAGAAGATTAATATATATTATATATATAATATTAGATAAGTGAAGAGATTGGCACAGACTATAAAAGAGATCGGGTGGGAGGAGATATAAACCGACGATGCGATTACGTTATCCGGGATTTTCCGCTTTTCACAATCTGCTTCCCGTTTCCCGGTTTCTCGAAACGCGATTATTAAAAGTCACGAGTCGTGGCGCCACTGTCGTCAACTATCAACTTGCAGTGGTAAATACAAATACGCGCGATCGATCAAACGAGCCTCGGAAACGGAATGTTTCGAGATGGAGGGAAACTTTTAGTTGCCGACAACGTTGTCGTCGTGGTGGAAGTTACCTGTTGTAGTGTCGCCTTGTATCCTCTAGTCGCGAGAAATTCTCGTTCAAGAGATAACGCTTCACTCCGATCGAACAATTCCTAATCGAATAAAAATGTAAATTAGAAACATGTTCAAAGGTGTGTGTGCATGTTTGTGCCGTTCAACACAAATGTAGTGTTTAACACAAAAGTTCTAACAAGGAATAACAGAAGGATGAAAATTCTGTGAAATATGGTATTAAGAACAAAGAATGTTACAGTTATTTTATTACCTTGTTATACTGCACAAAACAATCGTTTCTGAAGCGCGGTTTGACATGCGGTGTTAAACTAAATTAGGCTCACGCTACTTTTGCATTGAACGATTCATTTGTTATTTAATCTGATTATTAGTGTTGCTTTGTGCGGAGATTTTTAACTCTCGTTTCTTTACCGATATCTGTACTCGTAAAGGCTAGTTCAAACTGATAGACAGATAATCAACAGATAATGGACGATAAAATACAAATTCAGAGACAGTATTGACCTGCATTTTGCTGAAGTGGAAAACAAGAAACATGTCTATGGACAAGAAACATGTCTGTGAACAAGAAACATGTCTGTGAACAAGAAACATGTCTGTGGACAAGAAACATGTCTGTGAACAAAAAACATGTCTGTGGACAAGAAACATGTCTGTGAACAAGAAACATGCAAACAGACAACGCACAATTGAATATTCATTGTATTATAGATATCTATTGTACATTTCACTTCTGGCAAATATGTTGCAAAAAAAAAAAGAAAAAAGAACGTGACTGAATCTATATATAGTTGAATATCTCGGCGCTATAATTAATCTTAAACACAGAAACAGAAAGTTAGTTTTCTATTCTCCGATGGTAACACACATAACTTACTCCATTAAGCTAAATAAGCAACAATTTACTATAACATTATACATGCAAATACTTTCCTTTTCTTTCACAATCATTTCATTCCATGAGAACTGTAGATTTCAAATAGTGTACGTGGATAGCAAGCGAATGCTTGTGGCAATAATATTTAAAAAGAGAATTCGATAATGTGAATTAAATGTGAAGAAATGAAACAAGAGTTGACGCCTTAATAAATCATTCTTAATGATTAATTACTTACATGAAGAATTCTGTCACGTTGAACTTGGAATAATCGTAACCAAAGATTTCTCGCTCTGCCAGTGGAACTTGCTTCGTTAAAGCATCCAGTGTATTGGAATTGTGGATAATCCACTCGTTGCACAAAAAGTAATTCAATTGCGTCACGCTGTGGTAGATGGTTTTCTGAATTTTCAGCAGCCTGGCCGAAGATCATGGAAGAGAGAAAGTTTTGAGAAAGCTGCGGCGAAGTATAAATAATGTATAAACGTGTACTTACATCGGTTTGCGGCCAATCACTTTAAGGATTTCGTCGATGATCAAGGCTGGTAGAACGTGCATGAACAACGTTAACACGTAATGAAGAAGACGATTGGGCGTTAAAATGACTCGAGGATACCAGATTATCCCTTCGAATGGCATCTTTTCGTTTAGCTGCAATCCAAGCATGGTCACTTCTTTGACGTTGATGTGATGAATCTGATACGAGCTGCCATTGTAGATGTGAATGCTCGGATCTTCGGTAATCCTGGATGCATTTTGCAACTTGACTTTCCATCCAATCCGAAATCTAACGCGATCGCTTAAACTTACAGCAGACACGTACTTGACACATTTCAGACGAGACACATTCCAATCGATTTCTCCAAACTTTCTTCAAGTTTTTCTATAAGAGAAATAAACTTTTCTTTTCTTTTCATGTTCTTTTGTACCGTTTTGCAAATTGTTTTACCGAATGTTTCTCTGAACATAGGAATTGCGTTGTCCCATTCGTCTTGAATGTGTTAAACGAGTGTCTACGTTAGTTGAATTTAAAACTAGCTCTCTCTCTCTCTCTCTCTCATACGTTTCTAATCCTCGTTTCCACGTGGCTGTGATCATAATTTTAATGGCAATGTCGACAGGCAGGAAATCGTTGCAGATGTACGGTTCTACACGAATTACTCGTAATATTCCTTTTGCACCGGCGACCATCATTCCCACGGGTCCGTTGAAGTTGTCCAACCAACCACACATAGGATCCTCGATCGTAGATATCACTGTTTCCAACCTTGTCTTATTATTCATTTGCCCATTTATTACTCTGAATCGTATGTGTGTGTGTGTGTGTGTGTGTGTGTATTACGTACCTATCGATGGTCGAAAAATTATAGTGGGCAGGTCTTTCGAGTAATCGCTTATCACCTGTTCCGCCAGTCGCTTGGTAAACGTGTACGTGTTTGGCATCGAGCCCAAGTACCTGTGATTTTCAACGATTTTCAAGGATTAACATTCGAAAGGAAAGTGTACGCGAGGGAAAAAATACTCACTTGGAAGTAAACGTTCGCACGATTTGCTCGTCCAGGGTTTCTACCATTAGTATGGCGTCTCTCCAGTTGGTCAGAGGAGGATACATAATCTCGTCAATGATCGGCTTGTCGACGTGAGCGTACGCGGTGCTGACGTGCATCAATGCCTGTCGGTACAGTGGCACGCAGTTTTAAGAACGTGACCGTGATTCTTATTGGGTAGTCCGCGAAACAATAAAAATATACGGAGAGTTGAGAAAGAAGAATGGCTGATGTACTTGCCACTAAGTTTTTCATAGCTCCCGCGAGAATGCAAACGTCCCTGGTCGAGCGGACGTTCGAGAGTATGTCCCTCTTTAGATCCTCGGTGAATCGAACGTTCGCGGCTACGTGGAAAATCACGGAAACTCGTTCGACGATCATCTGTCTTTCGTCTGGCCGTAAAGCCAAACCCTCGATGCTCGCGTCGCCATAAACTGGGATCAACTTCTTCAAATTGGATGGCCTTTCTTTTCGCAATTTGTCGAACAGCTACGAACACGGAAAGAGATCGTCACGTCGAGACTCGAAGGACTTTTTTCAGTATTAGAATATCGTACGGATAATCTCATAATCAATTAAATAAAATAATAATGAAATAAACCTTCAAAATAGAATAGCAATACATTAAATGAATATGTTTTGGAAGGAATGAATTTGTCAGACAGACTTTGCAATTTATTAAACTTTTAGATTTTTGGTAGTTTGAAGATTTAACCCACTGTTGCATGAATTTTTATGACGAGTTGAAAGAAATATACACGGCTGTTAGTCTACTTAGAAATGAGTGTGGTCATGAAATAAATAATAAAATTTTATTAGAAAATGTTATTTATTGCATTTCATGACTGTTGGCAAACAACTACCAATAAATTGTCTACTTAATTTACTGTAGAACATTTGAAATTTAAGTTAAGCCAATTGGCAACAGAATGCAACAGAGAGTTAAGGCATGTTATACACACTTTTGTGTGAAACTCAACGCTTTAATTTTGTTGGAACGATGTACAAGGACGTTTTATCGAGTATGCCAACTCAGTTTCTCTACTAACCGGTAAATCGAGCATTTTCTTCAGCCTCTCGTCGATTGACAGCCCGCCTTTTGGTCGCATCAACATGAATATCTCTTCAACATCGGGGCAGGATCTCAAGAGTTTCTCGACCAATACTTTCCCCAGGAAGCCAGTACCACCGGTCACAAAGATACTTCGACCAGCGTAGAACGCAGCTATCGAAGC